CGACTCTCGCCACCACCGCCGCCACCATCTCGGAAGCATCCTTGGCCAACAATGCGGTGACAACCCTGGCAGCCAACTCTGCCACAACCCACCCGTCTCCGAAACCCAACCCCACTGCCACTCCGGCAACAAGCGCTAGCGCACAACCCTCTGGCCCCGCCGCCGACCCCCAACCACCCCTGACGACGCAGCCACCCGCCCCTTTGCTCACCAACACACCAGCAGCACAGTCTGATTCCTTGCACACATTGGCCTCGCAAGGGCCCTCACACACGAAAGCCGAGACGCCCCAGCCCCCCGGCTCCTCCAACTCCAATCCAGAGGCACGCCTCAACTTGGAAGGTCGCGTCAATGTACCAGCCACCATAAATCCCTCTCCACAAAATGAGGCTGCCCCGCCCTCCACCCAAGCCTCGACGGGTGGCCTTAGCCTAGGCGCGGGCCAGAGCCTGAGCACCGCCAATCCCACCCCTGCCGCCGGCTCCCCTCATCAAGGTCCCAGTTCACAAACTGCCGGCCAAACGGGTATGGCAACCGCAACCGCTCCTGACACTGTTGCCGCCACCCAAGCCCCGCCCTCAAGCACCCAAGCCCCGCCCCTAGGTCACCAGGGTGTCAGCAGCACCCTGGGCCAGGGTACAAGCCTCGGTGCAGGCCTCAATCCGGGCGCCACGGGCCAAAGCAGCCTGGGCCAAGGCACCAGCTTGTCCACACTTCAGGTCCCCTCGACCTTGCCAGCTCAGGACAACACCAATCCTACAAAGCCTGCCTCTGATCCTTCCTCTTCAAATGAGGATAGCGGTTCAAGCTCAGACTCCTCCAGCAGTAGCTCCTCGGGTTCCTCCAACAAAAACCAGGGTCCACCTGCTGCACCAAATGCGCCTTCAGCCAGCAACAACGCCGCTGGCACCCCACCGACTGCCACCGTCGTCCCCATGACAAACACCGCTACCACCACAACAACAACAACAGCTGCCACCGCGGCTACCCAAGGCCCATCCACCAGCCTGCAATCATCCCTGGCCGTCTCCGCCCCGAACAATGGCCCGAGCCCAACCAGCCAGACCTCATCACTCGCCGCTGCCACAGCAGCCGTGGACGCCAGACTGCAACAGCTGCGACAGCCCCTCCCTGCTCAACAACAGCTCAGCCCTCTTCAACTCCAACAATGGCACATTTTGCAAGCTCATCGACAACAGCAACAACAAAAGCAACAGCAACAACAAGAAGAGCAGATTCGTCAGCAGTCACAACAGCCGCCACAACAGCCACCACAACAGCCACCACAACAGCCGCCACAACAGCCACAACAGCAACCCCAGCCACAGCAGCCAGGCGTCGGACCCCAACCCAGTCACGCCCCAGGCTTGGCCAGCTCTGTCGCCGGTCATCCCGCTGGCACCGGCCTGGATGCCCCTGAATCCAACGTTACCCAGGCCCTGAATCGTCTTCGGCAGTCCTTTGAAGAAGCCAGCAGCAAGCTTGTCGCACACCACAATCAAACTCGTCGTCAAATTCAAGAAATTGAACTCGTGCTTCAGAACTTCGCTGCTCGAGGCAAGACTGCCACGACGGACGAGGAGTGCCTGCGATTTCAGCAAGCTCACCAGAAACTTCAGGCGCAACTTACCAAAATTAATAACAGGTTCTTGCAATGCCGGCAACAATACGAGGATCAACACTCGATGCTGGTCAAAACCTCGGCAGCTCAGCTGACCAGCAAAAGTTCGCCCGCGCCTTCTGATGCGGTGGCTCGGCTTCATCAACAGCGATCCCTCATGCAACAGCAACAACAGCGACAACAAGCACCACTGTCGCAACAGTTTGTGCCATCGTCATCCGCTCGTGCCCCGCCGACACCTTCCATGGTGTCTACTCTTGCAGCGCCGGTCGCCGCGAGTACAGGCCCTTCTCTCACTTCGGCTCAGGCCACACAAATGAAGGAACAGCTTCTCGCACAACAACGCTTCGATCAGCAGCAAAAACTCCATCAACTTCACCAGTATCAGCAGCAGCAACAACAACAACTGCTGGCACAACAGCAGTCGACCCAGCAGTCGACCCAGCAGCCTCCAGCATCAACGCAGCAAGCTGAAATGTCTCAACCACATCAGCAGCCAAATACCTCACTCGGTCAAGCCCAGGCCGTCTCTGCGGCCGGCCCATCGTCCGCAAGCAGTGATACAGGCGCCCAGCAACAGCGTCTCGGCACTCGTCCCACCCCTGCTCCCACCAATCCAGGTTGGTTATTTTGATTTTGTTACTCACCTCACCAAACTGCAATATATTGATAGACGTCTTTCTCTGTCCATCTAGGCATCAAGGCTTCGCGATCTGCCTCTCGAAGCTCTTCTCACAAAGGATCGCCAGATACCAAAGCCCGCACTGGTCAGTTTTTATTTTCGTCTCCCTTTTTTTAAAAGGGGAGGGAGGGTGTTCATTTGATTTTGATCTTTCTCCGACAAAAGCTTGTTTGCGTGACGCTGATCCTACGTTGAATCTTGGTTCCACTGCAGCGCGTGCGAGTGTGGGTGGCAAAGGGAGTAAAAGTGGTGCTAAATCATCTGCCACAGGCGCCGATTCTGCTTCAAAAGAAGCTGATGCGGCGTCCAAATCCAGCAAGGCGACGACGGTAGGTCCCCTCGGGTTCAGATTTGAGTCGCACATGCAAAGTAACCGACCTTGAGTGCGTTTTGTACCAAACTTAAGTTCCCCCCCCCGCCCCCTTTTTTTTTTTTTTTTCTATTTTTCTCTTTTGTTGGGATGGGGTTTTGTTAGTCGACGCTCGCCACTCCTTTGCCCGACTGGATCAACGATGGGAATATTGGCTATGCCGAGCAGCAGCACGAACAACTCAAGGTTTGACCCGTTGGATTTCTGCCACCGTGCCGTGGACGCAGGCTTCTCAATAGCAGCGTGTTATATCTCCCCATAGAGCCAAATCACAGCTTATCGCACCATTGTCAAAAACGAAGTTCTCACCCCCAGTATCCTCAAGAAGCTAGAGTTGGAAAAATATCCCATCAAACGCGGTGAGTCATTGCGCTGCAACCCTGTCTGTTGTCGTTCCCGTACTTCCTGACTTCGCTCGTTCTCTTTTTATCTTGCTTTTTCTTGCTTTTCAACTCAAAAACTACAGCCGTTCCTGAGATCAAGGCCCAGAACCCACAAGAGGTGGCCATTCCACCGCCCATCACGGAGCTAAACTTTAACCGTCCAGGCATGGACCAACCGTACGTCACAAACTGCTGCTTTCGTTCGCCTTCCAGACTTTCGACGAGTGCTGATCAACCTCGGCTGCTAGGCTCAACAAGCAAGTGCTGCAACAGCAGTACTTGGCCAGCATCGATAGCCGCATGGAAGTGCGACGCAATGTTCTGCGTCAATGGCGTGCTGAGGTGTGTCCGTCCTATCCGCGCCTCAGCAAGCTCGATGGTGCTATACATGCAGCTGCTCCGACATACCTGATTGGTCCCTTTGTGTGTCACTCAGCTCAAAAATGACGTCCCGAAAGCCTGGCCGGGCCACCTTGAAAGCAAGGCTTTTTCTCTGCTGGAGGTTTGTGGCACACGTGCACGCCTTCACTGGCCTTCGGACGCATCTGATGTCTGCTGAATTTGCTCGGTCTTCTTCCCGACTCCGCCAACCTGCACTTGGGCGTTAGTTTCAACGCGATCTGCGTCTCAAGCTTTCATCTCTGGAAAGATCCCTGGAGGCTCCAGTCCTGGCTTCAGCGCTTCACCGTCGCTCGCAAGCTGGGCTCGCACGCCGTGACATGGCCAAAGTCAAGGCAAGCTATGTCTCCTTTGCCGCAATCCCCCCCCCTTTCTGTCATGCGCACCGATGCGTGTGCTCATGGCTCCTCTGGCACTTAGGCTCTTGTGAAGCAAGTTGCTGAACACCATAAAGCGTTTCGTGAATTCCATCGCGGGTTAGTGGCTCTCCCAGCAGCGCAAAATTCACTTCACACTGCGCACTCTATGCTTGTACTCACTTGTCCCGCTCGCTTTTTGAATGTAGGGTTCGACGCTCCGTGTCTTCACAAGCTCGTCATGTGACAAACTATCACGACAAGCGCGAACGCGAAGAGCGCAAGTACGTCTTTGGGCGGTGATCCACCTGACTCCAGTGTGCTCCCCGCGCTTGGCTCATGCGATAAATTGCACCTTTTGCACCATGTGGCCGGATACCACTGCAATCGCTGATAGGCGCGAACAAGAGGCGACAAAGCAGCGCATGAAAATGTTGATGGAAAAGGACGAAGCAGGCTATCGCGCGGAAATTGCCAAGGGCAAGAATGAGCGTCTCAAGCTCCTCCTCAACAAGACTGATGAGCACATGAATCTCATGAAGAACATGGTGTGCCCCTTGCCGCGCTGGTGGCTCAGAACAAGCTCTTTGCCTTGCATTTGCTCACCCGAGTGCATGCTTGCAACAGGTTCAACAACATCAACAAGCAGAGCGCGCCCGTCGCCGAAGCACTGCCGATGGCCGAGACGAAGACGATGATGAGCCTCGCCCCACTGTCATGGTGCCCCTGCCCAGCGATGCCTCAGCGAGTTCCACTACGGAAGCAGGCGCCTCAGGTTTGCCAACGTTGCCGACCAACTGCGTGTCTCTTCGTGCTGCACGTGTCGACTGATGTCTTGTTCATGAAATTGCCTTGCACGTAGCGGAAACGAGCATCAAGGATGTCGAGAGCATTGCCGATCTCGAGTACGAGGACTTGATTGCGTTGGGCTGCTCGCATGCCTCTTTGTGCTTCTGTCGGGTCTTATTCTTTTGTGCTGTGTCATGTCCTACAGAGATGAGTTTGGCGCAGGTCACATTCTCAAGGAGAAGGTGCAGCAACCCAGCATTCTGGTCGGCGGCACGCTGAAACCCTATCAACTGGAAGGTAGGCCCAGGACTCTATGCCATCAGCAGCTATTCTGAGCCGAACTCACACATCCAAACACTTGTCTTGCAGGCCTTGAATGGATGGTCTCGCTATACAACAACCAGCTCAACGGCATCCTGGCCGACGAGATGGGATTGGGCAAAACTATTCAGGTAAACCCTGCACCACGACCTCTATCAATTGTCGCTGTGCTGACAAACCCCGCTTTTGCTGGACGTAGACCTTGGCCCTCATCACTTACCTCGTCGAATANAAGGTACGTGTCTGTTGAGATGCCCTATGCAAAGGCGTCCGTGGGCGCTCAACTTGTACAATTTGGGCTCCTGGTTGTAGAACAATTTTGGGCCTTTTTTGATTGTCGTGCCCTTGTCAACTCTATCCAACTGGTCCAACGAACTGCAACGTTGGGCGCCTTCGCTTCGCGTCATCGTGTTTTGGGGCGAACCTGAAAAGCGCAAGCAACTTCGCCAAGAGGTTTGTGCCCTCCTCTCAACAAAGCCCCGCCCCTTGCTGCCCTGTCATCAGATGGTGCGGTGTCAAGCATACTTTGCGGTCTTGATCCTCATTGTGTAAACTCGGGTCTTAGGTCAAGGCCGGTCGCTTCAACGTGGTGCTGACTACATATGAAGTAATTTTGAGAGAAAAAAGTATGGTCATTGGTTGTTTGTCCATTGTTGGGGTGGCAAGTGCGACCCCTCTCACACCATTCCGCCTGCGCCAGGCTTGCTGGGCCGCATCACGTGGCAGGTGATGGTGATTGATGAAGGTCATCGAATGAAAAATCATCAATCAAAGCTCTCACAGGTTGGTGTTTTTTTTTTTTTTTTTTTTTTTTTTTTTTTGTTTTTTTTTTTTGTTTTTGTTTTTTTGTGATTGAAGCGCGAGTCAGTACGTTTGCCTCATCTAAAGGAATTCGTACCGACACCCACGATAGACGCTAACACAACATTACACGACGCTGCGACGCTTGCTGTTGACTGGCACCCCGCTGCAAAACAATCTGCCTGAACTCTGGTCCCTTCTCAACTTTCTTTTGCCTACCATTTTCAAGGTCAGCTTCTGTCCTGCCATAGAGGACGAGCGCACATGACAAACAACAAATCGCGCTGATCTCTGATTCTTTTTCTAGAGCATGGCCAACTTTGAAGAATGGTTCAACAGTCCCTTTGCGTAAGTTGATGGAAGCCACTTTCTGCGCAGGCGTCGCTAAAGTTGTGCTGGCATCTTGCTCATCAACATGGCAATGGCAGGGGAAGCAATGAAACCCTCGAACTGAGTGATGAAGAGAAGATGCTTGTGATCCGCAAGCTGCACAAGGTTCGCTTGCAGTTGTTGTTGGCTCTTCATCACCTGACGTTGAAACGTGAGGCCGGTGTTCTGACGCCTCAAGTTGTTCGACTTTTTTGCAGGTCTTGCGACCTTTTCTGCTGCGCCGTTTGAAGAAAGATGTGGAGACGCAACTTCCCGATAAAGTTGAACACATTCTAAAGGTTGAGATGTCGGCCCTTCAACGTCAGCTTTACAAGCAAATGCATGTACGTGATCACCATTCGTGTCTCAAATTTGGAGAACATGACGATGCAGTATGCATTATTTACCGTGCGGCTGCCTGCTCTAGAAATACAATGTCATTGTCACGGGCGACATGGCCAAGAAAAAAGCCCATGGCCTGCAGAACACCATTGTGCAGCTGCGCAAGATCTGCAACCACCCTTTCCTGTTTCAAGAAGTCGAGCAAGATTTCTCGACACATGTGCATCAAAAACCAATCGCCATCCAAGACGGTGAGCGCTCCTACAACAAAAGAAAAATAGCAAAAGACCCGCAGGGTGTCACATGCGAGAAGAAACTCAAAGCCTGCCCTGATTGCCGATGTCTGTCTCATGGCGACATTTTTCTTAGTGGATCTGTGGCGCGTGGCTGGCAAATTTGAGCTGCTGACGCGCATGTTGCCCAAGCTCAAGGCGACTGGACACCGAGTGCTTATCTTTTGCCAAATGACCAGCCTCATTACCATTCTGGAAGATTTTTTCCCACTGATTCAAATTCGATCCATGCGGTACGTGTGATTTCTAGTGGCGCTGTGTTCTCCCAGCACCGTGGTTGCCGTCTTCCCGTTTTGTCATGATTGCAGAGGCTCTCCTGAATAAATGTGCTTTGACCGTGGAACGATATAGACTGGATGGTGCCACCAAGGCAGACGAACGCGCTTCTTTATTGCAACAGTTCAACGCTGCTGATTCCGACTATGATGTCTTTGTGCTCTCGACTCGTGCGGGTGGCCTCGGGCTGAATCTTCAGACAGCCGACACCGTCATCATTTTTGACTCCGACTGGAACCCTCATCAGGATCTTCAAGCGCAGGTGCGTCCAGCGGCGTAAACCATGATGGCGTGGGAGTTGCAGGAAGGTGGCACTATTTCTGCATTTTTGACCGCGCCGGCACACTTGTACCCAGGATCGTGCGCATCGCATTGGACAGCAAAACGAAGTGCGAGTCTTTCGTTTCGTCACAGTTCATAGGTACGTACTGTGATCTTGGAGCCGACCGAGACGTGTGCATTTCAAAGTCGCCGCTTCCTCATCTTACCCCTTGCCCCAATGCAAAACGTCAAAAAAAAATAATCTCGATGGCAAATCACTGCAATGATTAGCGTTGAGGAATCGATTCTGGAGGCAGCCCGCTTCAAGCTGGACGTTGACCAAAAGGTGGGATGAGCTGCCACGAATTTCGGACTCATTTGTTTGTCTTCTTCTCCGTGTTCACTGGTACATGCTCAACACGTGTGGTTTGATAGGTCATTCAAGCAGGCATGTTTTCAGGCCAAAAGGTTGACGCCAAGGTCCGCCAGGACTATCTGAAACAGCTCCTTGAGAACGAGCGGGTTGATGACGACGACGACGACGGCGAGGAAGAATCGGAGACTGTGACGTATCAACAGCTGAACCGGATGATGGCCCGAAATGAAGAAGAGTTGCAAACGTATAACAGGATGGATGAGGTACGAGGAAGCACATGGAGCGAGGGTTGATGGTTACAATTATTTTATCTCTCTCTCGGGGCGCTGTCTCTCTCTCTCTCTCTAGCTAGGAGATCAGGACGCCGTGTGCAGGAATGAATGTGCACATGCTCACGCTGCCGTATGTTGGTTTTGAATAGGAAATGAATGAAAATGACAAGCATTGGCAGAATGAGAGACGCCAGCAACGCCTGGTTGCCATGAGCGAGCTCCCGAAGCACTTTGTAGGTCTTTCGAGGCTTTGCCAAAACTCTTCTCGATTCTTCTTTGCTCTGGCTTACAATTCCTTTTTTTTTGCCTGTTCTCCTCCCACTCTTTAGGTCGACGATCGCTTTGTCAAGTCGGTGTCCGACTCTATCAAGGGCAAGACGGTTGAGCCTCTAGCCGCGCATCGAAAGCGTCGCACGGTCAATTATGCAGACGAGCTGACGGAGGAGCAGTGGCTGGCCAAGGTAGAATCGGGCGACATGGCGGAGGAGCTCGAAGCAGAACACGCGGCAAAGCGCAGCAAACTTGATTTGGAGAACACTGATTCTCAAGACGGCATGCGTCTGAGTTTCACAGCCGCTCTACGAGGCGATGAAAACACAAACGATGGTCTTGGTGCGTTGATGTGCCTCGCTCCACTAGCAATCGTAACGGAAGTTTTCGTCGTGCAGTAGCGCCATGCATAAACGTCTTGAACCAGCTCATCAGGGTCACATTTGTACAGGCACGGAATCTGAAGCGCCCAAGGGCCCGGATGAAGAAATGGATCCTGAAGCTTTCAACTCCCTGTTGACGTGTATTGACGATGCCATCGATCGCCAGGTAAGCGCGTGCGCTTGTTTTATCCTCTCTTCAAGCGTCCAATGCCCATTGCTAAACAATTGTTCTTTTTTTTTTTTTTGAAATCATTGGCAGGCGCGTCCCTTGGCCGATGTGTTGAATGTGACACTCAGAGACCTGCCTCCGCCAACCAAGAAAACGCGGTGCGCTCTTTTGTCATCCCGTTTGCGCTGTGCTCGATGATTGGGACTGATTTTTATGGCCCATTCTTGTGACCTCAGGCCCATGCTCGAGAGCATGGATGAGCTTCGCCAGCTGGTATCCGAAGGAGCCTACCGAACGCTGGGAGAAATGCGCCACCATGTGACTGCCAAACTCGACTACATTTGCCAGCATTTTGATGACGATGATCGCGTACGCACTGTGTGGTGGCGGGAAGGTTTTGCTTGTGAGGAGATTTGGAGGTTGAAAGAGGGTACTCACCATTGCATTTTGTGTCGGCAGCGCCACCACGATGCCATGCAGCTCAAATCCCAAGTTGAGCGGTTTGTGCAAGAAGAGTATTCGGCCGAGGGCGAAGAGAGCACTGCCGGCGATGAACTGAATCTGGATGTGGACGACCTGGATGGGGATGCAACCCGCGATGACCTTCCCGAGGAGGGCGAAGATGAGGACGATGAGGGCGGCGACGAGGACCTCGAGGATGAGGACCACATTGCCGAGGCGGGTCAGGAGGACGAGGAAGCTGAAGGTACGCTCGACATTGGGGGGGACGAGGATGGCAAAGCTGTGCAAGAGAACAACAACGATAACCACGAGGATGGCGAAGATGAACCGGCTGTTGTCCTGGACGACACGGACGATGTTCTTGATCTGGATCTGTCCGACGACGAAGAAGCAGAAGAGGCTTGAGTATCCTCAGCATCAAGTCGCGCTAGAATGCGCCTATCATGATTTTTTCGCTCCAGATACCGTGCACTGACATCATTTTTACCATTTGCCTTGCTTGTTTTTATTTTCTGTTTTCTTTCTCCCCACAACCGTCACATGTGGCTCTTTTGGAACGATCTGTCACCTTGTATGACCTCTCGATTTGGCTCTTTCCGACCCGAGGCCGGCGGCTCTTGTTTTGCTCATAAGTTGTTCGCTGCATCGAGGGGCGCAGCGTTGATTACAACTACATTAACAAGTAGTTTTTGCATGTTTCTTGTTTGTGCTCATGAGTTATATGATTGATGGTGTTGTTAAATTTAAGCATGTAAAAAGAAAAATTTCGACCTTGAATTTCCTTGAATTTTTTCTGAAAAAAAAAAAAAAATACCAAACCAAACCAAACCAACCGAATCGGTTCAAAGGTTGCGGGGGGTTGCGGTGATGGTTGCCCGGGGCCGCCTTAGTTTGTGCACCGCTCACTTGACAAGCCACACGCAAAAAGGTGCTGAATTTTTGAATTTTTTATGGGTGATCGAGAGAAGAATTTGAGGAACGAACGTAAAACGTGACATCGATTGATACCAAGTTTTAAAAAATATGAATGTATTACGACAGGATTAGGATTAGAATTAGCCTGTTTAGGCAGCTACAGCGAGAACTCCATGACCCCAGCTTTCAATTCGCGTCATCATCTGCGGCGAGAGCAGGATTTCGTCAAGGAGGCATCGTGAACGAGCACCCATAAACCTGAAACAAGGATTCGGAAACGGCGTGTGCGTACCTCTGGCCAGGTTAAGACGGCGGTGGAAGACGTCTCAGCCAGCACGGCCGGTGTTCCCGCTGGCACGGCACACATGCTTTCAAGACGAGCCATCATCTACGTGCAAAAGGGCATGCAAACGGCAGTGGTCATGAGGTTGAGCAAAAGTGGCGCAGTGGGAGGAAGGTCCGTTGAAACACCGGCCCTTACGTCGTGTGACCGGAGAAGTGCCACAGTCAGCGCAGGGTGGGTGGGCAGATCCTTTTTGTCGGCATTGCTGTTATTGCCTGAATCATTGGACAGGGCAAAAAGGGTTGCTTTTTGTGAGCTTTGCAAGCACTTTGATTGCTTGCTCCAGTCGTTAAAACGCCCACGAGGCGGCAGCTGCAGCGATAGACAAGGGGTTCATACCATCATCACCATCACTGTGCCGGGGACTGATGGTGGGGCTGTGCTGTGGACGGGTGCGTCGATGACGATGCAAGTTGGCAGTTCCGTAGATTGCGGAATGAAGCTGTTGATGAGCCAGGCTCGCCCGGCGTCTCGGTTCGAGCCTGGTACTTGGCTTGGTGGTGACCATGTGGCGGGAGGCTGACACCGCGCTCTTGGTGTGGGCGCTCGCACTTGTGAGAGTCCCAACAGCAGCGGTTGATAGTCCATCGAGTCCACGGTTGCCGGACTGGCCACGTGGACTAACGACCGGAAATCCATGCATAGAGCGGCGTCTGAGACCTTGACGAGGCAATCCTTGCCCAGGCAGAGCCTCATGGTGGTTGGCGTGTGGATCTACTGGCCGTGTCTTGTGGCTTTCATGTGCTTCAGATCTTGGCAAGGGCATTGGAAGGCGGGCAGGCATGGAATGGCGGAAGGGTTGGGCACGATGCAGGTGTGGGCTTGGGCCTTGCGGACGGTGTGCTTCCGAGACCTCGTGGCATGGATGGGGCGCTTGGTCAAGAGGCATGACGCTGGCCGGGATCAGTAGGGGTGAGGATAGGGTTTGGTCTGGCATGCCAGACAGTGGCAACTCAAGATGGGCTAGATGATGGTCAAGAAAACAAGTCACAATTTAAAAGGTGAGAAATGAAGAATCGCCTGTGATGAGACATGATATAAGTACACGCGGTGCAACGCACCAAAGATATCCGAGGGTCGGAAAGCAGCGTCATGATGGGGGTTCGAGATCAAGGGGGGGCTGGACCGGCTCTTATCCAGAAAGGGTGTTGCCGCGCAAATGTGCGGGGGCGCAGGAGGAACCACAATTAAAGGCTCAATCTCATAAGGCTGGAGGTGGCCAGCGGGAGACACGGGTTCACGCGCCAGCGGGTTTGCCACATCCATCATGGGCGTCAAGTCGTCATCACTGTGTGCGGTTGACAATCGGGGCTGATGTGATGGCAAGAAACCCGACAACGCCGAGGAGACACGGGGGTCTGATGGTGGGCAGCGCAGCAGCAGGGGAATGACAGGTGGCGGTGAGGATGCCAACCACCAATGACAGAGATGGAGCGGGTATGCCAGCAAGAAGGCGAGCAATACACACTGGAAATGTCGGGTTGAGGAATAACGATACCGTCATCCTGGGTCAGAGGTCTCTGCTCTTGCTTGGCCTGCGGACGAGACATGCAGGATTGTGATGAGAGCCATCAGGCACACCTCAACAGCGATTGGTCAGTGCAAGGCCTTTGGATTCAAACCTGAGGGACAGGCTTTAACATTGAATCGATGGACACCTGAAAGAATTTGGAACGGTTGTGGACATGAATCTGTGGTCATGGTCTGCTGCTCGATGACGCAATGGCTGCCTGCACGGGGAGTGGCACAGACCTGGATACCGGCGGCTTGTTCGCTGGGCGGTGCTCGTACGTGGGTTCGTGTTGGTTGCAGCTGGGACAGGCACCAGGGGTGAGCGTTGCGAAGGACGGCCGCCGTTGCAACAAAGGTGGCTGAGTCGAGGTGGACTTACTCGACGATGGATGTGCGAGCTAGCATTCCGTAGGTGATCGTCGGCAAAGACATCGGCGTAGGCAGGTGGTGGGGTGTGAAAGAAAAACCTTTTGGGCTGTGGGATATGTTGAGTTTCCACCAGGTCGTAGATGCGACAGCAGATTATCAGGGGTCGCATGAGTAGGTGCTTTTTTTGGAACCAAAGCGCGGCGAGGAGGCCCGCGTTTTGTGTCATGTCAATGCCAACTCGCTGGCGTCAGTTGGAAAGGCGCTGGCCGTACCTGCACGGATCCAGTGCTGCTGCAAATTGAATTGTGGGAAGTGTCTGCACTCATGGGCGACCCCGAGTCGATGAGATGTAAATCGGTGAGTTGTGAGTCTGACGGCGGGGTCACGCACCGGCGCTGGAATTAAGCTCCCGGTCGGGCTGGGCCAAGTCTGTGGGCCGAGAGGAACTTCTTCTGGCGGCGGATGACTGGTGCGGTCGCTTCGGAGTGGCAAAGAGCCGGGGACCTGGGCGCAGCCGGGGGGGGGGGGAGTGCATCAGGGGATGTTTTGGAACGGGCGCAAAACCGTTGGTGCCTGCAAGGGTTGGGGCAGACTGAATCGGAAGGCTGGGGACGCACCTGGTTGCAGAAACGAGTCGAGCACGTTGTGGTGCTGCACGCTGGCCTGGAGGGGTGTGGCGAGGGGTGGTGCGGGGCGAGGGAATGAGAATAAAGAAAGGACGGCGCGCGCGGGTGCAGGGCCTTGGCATGGGGTGCTCTGGTGCAAAGCGTACCTCGTGGCGCATGGCAGCGGGCAGGGACCTTGAATGAAACCTCTCGATGGTTTGTCATTCGACTTGCGGTGGCGTGGGATATGGGTTGATCGGAAAGAGGGCGGGGAGAAGAATACACAGCAGTGGCGCTCGGGGCCACGGCGTGTGGAGAGGAGGTTGGTAAAAGGCAGGTACGGCGAAAATGACAGTCAAGGCCGCGGCCTGGCCAGGCCCGGTCAGCAGGTTCAGATAGCCAACAGCAAGAGAGTCGGGTCACAAGTCAGAGCAAGCGGCCGGGGCTGGATTGACCGTGCCGTTTGTGCGTGGGAAATACAAGACGCCTCCGAGGCGGTCACGGTGGCGACCGGGCGGATCGGTGCTGCGCGCAGTGGACTTGCGATGTGCTTAAGTGAGCAGGCTGCTGCGGCAAGCAAAGCTGGATGGAGAGCAGATGCGCATGTGCGAGGGGGACGGGGGGTCGCTTGGCTCCACGTTTGGGTAGCGGTTGCGCGGTGTTGATGGGGGGTCATCGACAACGAGAAGACCCGTTTGGGGTGCCTTGATGCTGAGACAAGCGGGGACATGTGCAGAAACAAGCAGCGTCTTCAGTTTGACCGTTTCCAATGCGAGCTCGGAGGGCAAACTTGTGATGACAAGGGCCGTCTGCCAATGTCCCGAAAACCAGTTTTGCGTTTGTGGTGGGTGGGAGCTGAGCTGTTGAGGGTGGGTTTAACGGCCGCGCGAGGGACATGAAGCACCGTTCCTAAGCGGCTGGCTCTATCGGTGGGGGAAGGCTGGCCGTTGAACTGGGCAACGCTTCTCCCACAACCCACCCCGCAGCAAACCCGGGTGACGCTTTGCCCCAGGTCACCCCACAACCGCACCACCTCCCATGCAACCTCGTCCCCGACCTCGGCGGTCCTCTGCCCCACAATCCCTCCCGTTCTCCCGCAACCCCTTTAAATCCTCTGTGTGTGTGTGTGTGTGTGTGTGTGTGTGTGTGTGTGTGTGTGTGTGTGTGCATGCAAGTAAGCAAAATTTGAAGAAAAAGGCAGGACATCGAGTTGGTGTTTGTGTTTGTGTTTTTGTCTCTGTCTCTGTCTCTGTGTCTCTGTCTCCGTCTGTCTCGGTTTCTGACTCTGTTTTGACTCTGTCTCTGTTTCTGTCTCTGGTTCTGTTTCTGTTTCTGTATCTGGCTCTGTATCTGGCTCTGGCTCTGTCTCTGACTCTGTCTCTGTCTCTGTCTCTGTCTGTGTCTCTATATCTGTTTCTGTTTCTATCCTTGTCTCTGTTTTTGTGTGTCTCTGTCTCTGTGTCTGTGTCTCTGTATCTGTGTCTGTCTCTGTGTCTCTCTCTCTGTGTGACAAACAACAACGGCAAAAAAAAAAAAAAAAAACGAATGCCTGGTCATGACATGATCAAGTACCAGGTCCACCATGTGCTCCGAAAGCATAAGAGTGGCTTGTGAGGGGAAATCTGTCCCAGTCTCCTTCTTGAGGAGGATGCCAGTTGGTCAATGTCGATTGGGATGGCAACCGCACGCCGCGCAGGCCACACAAGAGCTCCGCGCCAACCACAACAGCAAACACTCAGGGGGCAATGGGCCCAGCGCGGACAATCCAAACAATGTGCAGTTGTCCACATCAGTATCAAAGACGCCGAGGCGCTTTTGGCCCAGTCATGCCCAGAGACAATAGCGAATCAATCTTATTTTTCTCAACAACTTTCTTCCCGACTCAAAAACTCACGCGCCAAGCACAACACCAAACATGCAAAAGGCTCGCCAAATGTCCAACGAGGCTTAGTTGGGCGCGGGCGCCGCAACACCCCAGGTCAGGGCATCAAAAAGCCAGGTGGAAGGCCGAACCGTCCCCGTCTTGCTGGTTGCCGCATTGGCGTCGTTGTCCAGCACCAGGTCAGCGTCGTCGCGCTCCGGGACAACGTGAGCGCCCTGCGCCGTCACCATGCGCAGCACATCCTTACGCGAAGGCGACACATCCGGTGCCACAAACACGCGCTGATTCTTGAGCAGCCGACTGCCCTCACGCAAAACCTAGGTGGCCGAGCGTTCCCACCACACACAATCAGCCCTTGTTCGGTCATGCAGTTGGTCAACGCGCAACCAGGCACCGCATCCGGGGCGAGGACATGATGTGCGTGCGAAAACGTACAGCTGCCCGGGGAAATTGGTCGCGAAGCTCAAAATCGCGCTCGTCAAGCCACTTGTTTGCCACAGCCGACGCCTCGATCCAGTCAAAGGATACGAGCCAGCAGCCGGCAGCAGCTCCCTGCAACACCTGGTCAGGCACGAACAGTTGGTGGATTGAGACGCCCTCGCTCTCAGCAAAGCGGCTCAAACACATTGGATCATGGCGGCTTTACCTTGAGAGTGCGCCGACCCGACGAGACGACATGAGTGGTCGTCTCCGAGACCTGGCTAGCAATCACGTAGAGGTGGCTGGACCGCAGTTGGCGCAGCACTGCCGAGGCAATGTCGCATTCACTGCAGGGAGAACCCGAAAAAAAAAAAAAGCATCATGCATTGCGTCAAAGAGAGTAAGGAAGAAACAGAAAGAGAGAGAGAGAGAGAGAATCAACATGAAACCAGCGCAAGCCAACACAAGAGAGCATGCTTACTCGTCGGTGAGGCCCGAGAGCACAATGCTGTGGATGGCAGCGCGGCGTGTGACCGGGGTTAGCGTGGCTTCCGAATCCTCTTGATCACTTGTCTCGTTGGCTGCCACGGGCTGGATGGCAGCGCGTTTGGACGCAGGAGCCTGGTCCGCCGCTTCGAGGTCACGTCGAGCATTGGCTTTGGTGCTGTTGGCCAAAACGCGGGCTTTTGAGGCCTTGGTCGACGCGTCTGCTCCGGCCTTGATGACGGGGCTCTTTTTACCGCGTTTGGTCTGAGGCTCACCCGTGGCGCCGATACCAGCGCCTTCGACTGAAAGTTCCTTGGACTTGGTGGCAGAAGTTTTGGCCTTTTTGCTTGATCGTGGCTTGGTGGTTGTCGTAGTGGCGGGGGTGACGGCCGCGCCATCGGAGGATGACTGGTCGTCTGCAGTGCCCTCGGTCTTTTCTTCGCCCTGGGCCTGTGGCTGACTGCTGGGTTGTGGGTCGGTGGAGGCAGCCACTGCTGAAGGGTCCTCATCGGCTGCCGTCTTGCTTGCCTCGAGCTTGTCGGCGCCATCATTTTGGCTGTGGTTGTCCTGTTCATGTTGCTCTTGCGCATCGGACTCGTTCGTGTCGTTGGCCTTCTTCTTGTCGTGGACGTCGTCCTTTGCTGGCGATCTGCTTTGTGTGTCGTCGTTGACGGCAGGAGGAGTGGCCTGTTTGTCTTTGTCGTCCTGGCGGGCAGCCGTTATGGTCGATGCGCTTTCTTTTGGCGTGGCTAGCTCGGCAGGGCTTTCATCCTTGACCGCGATCGACTCGGTTGGGTGGTCGTTGAGGGCTTGGTCTACGACGGGCTCGCTGGGCGTGGTTGGTGGGCGCTTGCGGGAGAGAAGCAGCTTGGCTCCCTTGCCTGAAGCCAAATCCGAGCTGGAGCTTGGCAACGCCAAGAGGGGCGGCGTTGAGCTGGGTGTGCCTTCGAGGGCATCGCTGACGCGGGCGACGTCCTCGTCGGCAGCCGTGGCCGAGAGCTCCAAGCTGGGCTCATCGGGGGTGTCGTGAAGTGAAGGGGATAGGGGGCGAGGTTCCTCAGCCATGGTTTCCAGGGCGGTGGGTGGAGACGAGGGCGGGGCCTAACAAAACAGAGAGCGGGAAAAATGAGCAGCAGCCACCTCATCAAAGCATTCCAGCACACGGCCAATAATCGACGAGAGAAGATTCAAATGGGTGGAAGAACAAACAGGGAGAGGCGTGGGTGTGAAGCACAAAAGCTGCACATGGGGCACTTACAACAAGCGAGGCGGGTGAGGGCTGACGGTCCAAAGCCGTCGGGGTGGAGTCGTGCGGGGTGGGCTTGAGGAGAAAAGGGGTTTCATCCACATGCGCGTGTGCTTGCACGCACGCATCGACCCAAGCAACGGTCACAAGCCGCAAATGCGACTGCTGGCGTGCCTTGGTCAAGCAGCTTTTCTTTCCCTCTTTGAACACCTGGCACCGTTGTGGCAACAAGGGCATCGGAAAATAAAAAGGAAGCATGAGATGGCGGAGGCGGAGGTGCACGAGGGGGGTCAACTGTGGAAAAGCAAGCAAGAGCAGCCGGCACGATGGCAGACACCATGTTAAGAACAACGCACGAGGTGGGTACAGCGGCGCCCCGGTGTTTGCTGGCAAGATGCGCCCAAGTCTTTCAGCTTGCGCTTCACGGCGTCAGAGGCGTCGACGCCGTCGGTGCGCACATCCACGCAGACCACCAAACCTGTCACGGGAGCGCACAATGTCGCCGTCAAGCGGTGCAGACCGACCCGGGAACAACGTGAACGGCACGTCTTCGTCAACCCAGGGAGAGAGAGAAAAAAAAAAAAAAAAGCAAAGGAGGAAAGAGGTAATACGTGCAGACACTCCAGCCAAATGCAGCCCATCGCCGCGGCTGTTCACCTGAACGGAGGAGCCACCCTTTCCCGAGGGTCCAAATCGGGCACACACTGACCTGAAAGCGGCGGCAGCGCAGCCATCGTAAGTGCAGTGTGTGTGTGTGTGTGTGTGTGTGTGTGTGTGTGTGTGTGTGTGTGTGTGTGTGTGTGTGTGTTGTTATTGTTGTTGTGAATTGCGCCAGTGAACTTAAAAAAAAAAGTGAGAGACACACACACACACAAAAAACAAGTTTTGACTTGTCCAATGGGATTTGTCGACAAAAAAATAGAAAACGGAATGAAGCTGTTTCGCGTTGAATGACGTCTATTGGGAAAAACGGCGCTAAAACAATTTGGTTTATAAACGCTTCCCGCTCACAGTTACCTTTGTAAAAAGTACACGAAAGCAGTGAGTAATCTCTGAATTTTCCCACAAGTCGACATAGGTAACGTTGAAAGTTAACATAGAAGAGAACGAGAGAGCCGGCATTTTTTTACAAGCTCCGAGTCTCCCAGTCTTCAGGTTTCTCTACTAGATCACCAATAGTCCAACCCCCAGTCTCTTGGTCTCTTGGTCTCCGAGTGTCGCAGTTTACCACTATTTTTCCCTTTAGCACCGGCAGCTTCAGTCTCCTGGTCTCTCCAAACACTCGCAATGGCAACTCGACCCAAAGGCGAATGGCTGGCCCAAGCCCCTGGCTCCTTTGTGGCCCTCTCCCATGGCACGGTACGTCTCTGTGCTCGGTGTGTGCTCGGTGTGTGCTCGGCGTGTGTGTGCCGTGTGTGATCTGTGCGCTGTGTATGTGTGTGCGCTGTGTGTGTGCGCTGTGATCTGTGTGTGTGCTGTGTGTGATCTGTGTGCTGTGTGTGATCTGTGCGCTGTGTATGTGTGTGTGCTGTATGTGATGTGTGTGATGTGTGTGATTTGTGCGTTGTGTGTGATCTGTGCGCTGTGTGCGCTGTGTGTGCTGTGTGTGCTGTGTGGGCTGTGGTGCCTCGGGTGTGCACTGGCCGATTCTCCCTGGACCATTGAGCTCTGCTTTTGTCGGTTCCTCACAAATCTCTGTGGGTTGTGGTAGGTTCATTATCAACTGCGGGGCACACCCTCCGACAAACCTCTGGTGCTGTGCATTCACGGCATCAGCGCCGATGGCGGCCAGTTTGCCAATTTGGCTCAGGAACTCGTCGATCTGGGTTATCAGGTGTTGATGCCCGATCTCTACGGTCGCGGGTGGAGCGATGCCGTGCTGGATGGCAAGGCCAAGAACGATGAAAAACTCTACACCGCGCAGCTGAGTGAGCTCCTCCTGCAGCTGGGTCCCGACACCAACTACATGAGCGGCAAGGCACTCCACGTCATTGGTACCAGCATGGGCGGAGCCCTGGCCGTCAACTTTACCGCACAATATCCTCGTCTCGTGCGCACCGTGACCCTGGGTTGCCCCGCTGGCCTTCCCACCCCGCTCCCGGCCCTTGCCGGTCTCGTCAAGGTCCCCGGCGTCGGCGAGCTCCTCATGAGCATGGTGGGGAAAGGCGCCACCGAGAAAAACACCGCCAAGGCCTACGCTGATCACCTTCGCCCTGGCGCCAAGGAACACTGGGAGGCCACCGTCCAGCGCAACTATGACTTGGGCAAGTATCACCCCGGCTTTGGTCCTGCCCTCCTCGACACGGTCCGCAACTTTCCTTTGACCGGCCTCCAGAGCCGCTACGACATTGTCGGTACCCTCGATATCCCTAAGCTCTTGGTCTGGGGCCGCGCCGACGTTGTCGTTCCCTTTCATCTCTCGGAGCAAGCCGTCAAGTGCCTCAAACCTACCTCCACCCTCTTCCTCGACGAGTGTGGCCACGTGGACTTTTTCTGCGTTGAAGAGCTAGCCTCGCAAATGAAGGCTGCCGTTATTGCTCAACTCCAAGAGGCCGATCAAAGCCCCGCCGATGTCTCGGCTTCCGCCCCCACCGCAGATGCCAACTGAAGTAAAACACAGGGATTCTCCTGTTGAGCTTCTTGCTTGTATTTCAGACCCCAAACCTGCCGTCTTTTGCCATCGTTGATAAGAGCTTCCAATTGATGAATGACTTTTTTCCGTCGTTTCAAAATAAGCCTGCTTATTCGGGCGTGAATACATCATTATAATTCAAACAAACTAACATGTAACAAACATTCTCAATCTTCTCGGCTTAGGAATAATCACTGTTCGAGGATGCGCCGTACGCCACCAAGACACTACGAGGTTCGACTTGGCGGAAGATGGCCCTGCCGCCTCGAGGCAGCCGTGGGGTGGACAACCAGCGTGCTGATGCTCGCCGCGGCTAGAGTCACATTGGCCAAACCATGCTCCACCGCCACTGTTGCGACCTGCGTGCAGTTGAGCGTGGCACTGTCCGACGTGGCCCAGACATGTCCAAATGCGCTAGACGTGATAATGGCACTTAGATCGACGCTGCGGTTCACGACGCTCTCGCCCGGGTTGACCAGTACCAGGGCCAAGGTGCCGTTGGGCTTGCGAACGGCCACGGTGTTGTTCCCAGTCTCATCTTGGACGGCGTATACAACGTCGCCAGGCCGCACAAACGACGTAAACTGCTTGTAGGCATAGTACTGCTTGCGCACGGTCCAGGTCTCGACCACAGCGTCGACGTAGCGATCACGAGTGCCATCGGGCAAAATGACACCTTCCTCAACGGGCTGAAGCAACCACGTCGCGGCGTCGGCGCACTGATTGATGCTTGGTGCTGCCCCCGACGTGCCCAGACAAGCTCCAGACGCGTTGTTGAGGCGCACCCAGCCCTGCGCCTGGTCGAGCGACCACTGCTGATTGGCGCCGCCCCAGCACCCATACAACCGCACAGCGTCTCCCAGCTGCATGGCCTTTCCCCAGGCGTCCAGGCATAGGCCAGTCTGGTTGCCAGCCCGGATCTGAGAGTCTCGCATCGAAAAGACCTACAACGCTCGGGTCAGTCAAACTTTTACACTCGAGTGCAGGTAGACACCAAGCGCTATCCCATTCATTTAAAAAAAAAAACAAAAAAACAAAAAAAAAAAAGAAAAAAAAAAAAGACGAACTTCTCCTCATCACTTGCCTGGTTTGCCGTGGCTGTACAATTGGCTAGCACAAGGGTGGCACCGTCGACTGCGGCATCGTACTGCAAGCAGAGCCCATTGTCACCACCGTATCGTAGATGGTAGAGCTGATCCTCGTGCGCACTGGCTCCCAAGAGGCCCCAGCCCGAATAGCCGGGGGGCGTGTCCAGATCGACGAGCTGCCAAAGCGTCCACACCGTCTCATTGAGAAAGTTAATGTCCTCAACAATGCGTTGTGCTAGCTGAAGTCCTCCCTGAATTGGGCCATTGCCGTTGCCAAACTCCGAGTTCCAAAGGGATTTGTCATGGTCAGCGGCAAAAGCGGCCAATGCAGCCCGATGGTCCCCATTGTAGGTGTGAGTGGTCACGAGCCCCAGATATGCCAGGGCCTCTTGGCTATACACCTGCAAACTGGCCAGGCTATCATCGAGATTATTCTCTTCGGGTCCTGCCACGGTGGTCTGTGAGACGTTGTGGCGCGCCAACGCCGCACCCAGCGCCTCAATGGCATCGGATTGCTTGTCGCGATCAAAGTGGCACCCCTCTTGGTCATTGCCATAGCGCCACCTTTACCCAAGGCAATGTCCAACGCATCCAACACAAAAACGTAAGCTTCTACAATGATTGGACATGGCCAACACGGCATGACCGGGAGGTGAACGGACGTACCAGCTGGAGACTGGTTCGTTCAACGGTGTAACGGCATCAAAGACGATTGGGCCAAGAGCTGGATCTTGGGCAAAGCGGGCCACAACGGTGGCCAGATAATCGGCCAAGGCAGCATACTGGTCATCACGTAGGTTGTTGCCGCCGTCCGAAGCGCCCGTGACGCTGCCACTGTTGGTCATAAAGTAGGGCGGCGAGTTGCTAAAGGCCATGGTCAGATTGACCCCACGGGCAATTCCTGCTTGCAGCACGCGCCGCTGGGCCGGATCGGCGTTCCAGTTATAGCTCCCATCAGCCCGCAGAAAGCCAGGCACCAGTGCCCCCGGGCGTAGAAAGTGACCCGTCATGGGATTCTCTCCGCCTACAAGCCGTGGTTGAACAAGTCAGTCGTGGCAGGAAATAAACAACAGGAGAAGAAAAAAAACGCAGTACGGCCGCACCGCCAATGTTGTAGCGAACTTGATTGACGCCAAGACCGCGGATGGGATCGAAAAGAAGATCCATCACCGCATCGAATCGGCTCTCATTCTTCCAGTTGCCGACGCCTGAGCAGCAGCGTGCCAGCGATCAAAATGAGCGACAGCTCCGATTCGGGCCGGAGCCTGCGACACGACGTACCCACAGCCCACCAACACAAACTGCTGCCCCAACCAGCAATCGTCTGCATGGGTTGGTCCAAGACGGTCACATCCGCCCCTGTTGTCGTTTTCGCGAGCGCCGAGAAGCTCAGCGCCGCCGCCACTGCCATCACCCACAATCTCATCTTGCTTGTTGTTTGGGTTGGAAAAAAAAGAGAGAGAGAGAAAGATTTAGAGAGAGGAGAGAGATTTAGAGAGAGAGGGATGTTAGATTTAGAGAGATTTAAAGAGAGATTAAGAGAGGGAGAGAGATTTAGAGAGAGAGTTGAAGAGAGAGAGAGAGAGAGATTTAGAGTGAAACAGGCACGAGATAGAGAGAGGAGACCTGAGAGATTCACATGTAAAAAAGAGGAGAGAGATTCAAAGAGACTTTGAGAAACTCAATGCTACTTTACTACATGTAGTAACTTTGTGACGTGGATGGCTCGGTGGTGTCTTAGCTACACTTTGACGAAGGAGTTCAAGGGCATACTGGCTTAAACGGGGTCAATGGACAGCATGGCTTCTTGCCTGAGCTCGTGCAAATCTGTTGGGATAGGCGAAGAGTGACTGACAGCCCGAGATAATGCACAAAGGTCAATTGCACAGTGCACCAGAGGCAGAGATGGCAAAGACGATCTGCCGTCATGCTGGGAGATAAAATGAACACGTCAGGAGCTGAGATGTTAACAATGAAACTGACTAGGGGGAAAGAGAAAAAGAAATCAAACAAGTAGCTCCCGAGCTCATGCACCAGAGTGCTGGGCATGTGCACGTCGAGAGCACACGCGAGCGCACAAATACGCACACACACAAACAAGACCAACAGAGGGGAGAGTTAGAGGAGAAAAAAGAAAAAAACAAAAAGGCTTGACGTCAAAGAGTCACGCCAAGGTGACTACTGCAAAGTCGCAGGGAGGGCGGCGGTGGCGACATCCTCGGTGGCACGACGTCGGCTACGGCGGACAAGCATCACGGCAAGGACCGCAAACTGGGAAATGCACACGCCCAGCGTCAAAATCTGATAGAGATCAGCCGAATTGCCTTCGCTGTCGTTGCTATCCGCTGTAGAGGATGCAACCGGGAGGTCTGCCTCCATGTTTGCTCCGGCTGCCGCACGACGGGCCACGGCCAAACTCTGGGAAGGCTGATAGTCCAAATCCAGGGCCTCCAGGATGCCACCGTTGACGAGCGAGGGCGGCGTGTCATCAATGTACAGGGTGGTAAGGAACAAACTGGCCAGCTGCTCAGCACTCAGCCCGTCATTGGCAGCCGGGCCTGCGGGATCGGCCGGGATAAAAAACTTGAGCGTGCCCACGGTCTGTGCGCCGCCCGAAACCTCGCGCAGACTCGTGAGCTCCACGCGCGTTTCCGACACCGACAAGACGGTGGCCAGCTCGCTGGCCAGCGTAGCGGAAAAGTCAACAAACGCGGTCGACTCAATATTGCCAAAGGAAGCATTCCAGGGCACGTTGAAGCGCAAGCCGTCCAGGGAGACGGGGACGGGCACAGCGTCAGCAAGCTCCGCATAGGTGAAGGACCAAGACACGGGCTGGCTCATCTTGTTGCCGGCAGCATCGTAAATGTCGCTGAGCGTCACTTGCACGCTCTTGCCACTGAGTGCGGCCGAAGAGAAGGCGTTGCTGATGGAAAGATGAATGGTGTTGCCCTGGCACAGCACGTCCAGAACCTGCTCGGTCACGGTGACTTCAGCGCCAATCTTGACCGTCACGCGAACCGTTGAGGGCTTCTCGCAATTGAGGGGCTCGTTGAAGACCGCCTCGACGTTGTCGCCAGGCACGGCCTCGCTGCCAGCACGCGGAAACAGGCCAAAGACACGGGGCGCGGCGCGGTCCAAAACTGCCTCAATGGTTCCGGCGTCATGGCTGTCAGCACCCTCCGCGGCGCTCCCAGAGGACTCGCACTGGGTAGACAGGCGCACCTCGTAGCGGCCATCAGCCAGATTCTCCACCTGCCAGTCGAGACTAGCGTAGCCAAATCGCGACTCGGTCACTGGGCCAGACACAGCAGTGGTCCAACTCGTGCTGCCATAGGGGCGAAACTCAAGATTCACGCCCTCAAGACGCGCGTCATCAGCCCAGAAACTGTCTGGGGCCCCGGGGTTACGAGCAAGGAAAGGATAGTACGCATCGGCATGGTTGGTGTTGATGACAACCCGGCCCGACTTGGCAACGTCGCCAGCCCACTCAATTGTCGAGCAGGGCTGCATAAAATCAATGGTGATCTCATGTTCAGAGGCTTGGAAAGAGGCAGGCGACCAGCTGCCAGTGACCAAGAACGTGTCATGCTCGCATTGGGAACGGAATCCCATCTTGAACGTCACCGAGGTGTGTCCTTCGATCGGAGTGACGTGCACAACCTCCTCATACTCTGAATATGGGGCCATCTGCTCAAAGAAACGGCCACCCAGCAACGTCTCATCATTCATCCGAACGTCCAAGCCTTCAATATCACGCACATAGCTGCGAAACATCGGCAAAGAAACAACCGCAGATGAGCTGAGGGCCTCTTCACAACGGGGCCAGGCAAGAAGCAGGCTGGTGGAGGGACAGGACCCACAGTTGGAACTGGTTTGCCTCATTGGCATCGTTGATGAGGCGAATGTGCAACAGAGCGCTATGGCCAGGAGCCACAGGGCCGGTTGGCTGGCTCTGAATAATAAGGCGTGGCTACAGCGAGGGAAAAACCAATTTGAGCGTGAGGTCTCTCATGTTGGTCGCAAAGGCTCAAAGCATATCGACGACTGTGAGGTCAACTGCCGACCTGCTCGCGGGCATACGTATTGTCCTCGTGAGGGCACTTGGAAGAACCGGCCACGGTTGTGAATACAAAGGTGTCATAGATGGGATCACGCGAAATCTATCCGAGTGCAATAGACCAGCAGGGCCCGGCATGATGAGCAACGATGCTACCGCTTCGTTCGCATGTCCAGAAGCACGCCCCAGTGCACGTACCTTGACTACAAACTTGTCTCCAGCATCGCCATCGCCAAGGACAAAACCGCGTACACTCTCCGAGCTCTTTTCCTTGGTCGTCACATCGGCTCGGTCAGCTGACATTTGGTAGCCGATCCCAATTTCAAAGGCAGGGCCGGTGCCGGCAATTGCCAGTTTATTCTCCACGAAACCTCCAACTGTGCCTTCATCGTGCACCATGGTTCCCGCGTTGGTGCTGTTGGCAACACCGACAGACTCCTCATATGAATAAAGTTGGCCGCCGCCCATGAAAGAAATGGCGCTGTACTTTTCGAGTTCATCAGCAGCTTTGCCGTCGGGCTTTCGGTCCAGATCCCGAGCCGCATCGAAGAGTTCACCCGGCATCAAACCCGTCAGCGGCTCAAGAGCACCGGTGGAAGCGTTGTAGAGAACCTCGTCCGTGTAGTTCAGGATTCCTTTCCAGCCCAAGATGGCCTCTTTCAGCTTGTCAACCTTTTCTTGGGCCTCGTCCTTTTCGGCTTGAGTGCCTGACGTCATGGCAGAGGCCAGATCGGCTTCAGCGTGCACCAAGTTATTTTCCAAGGTGGGGATCTAGCATTGACCAACAATCATGAGACAAAATGCACCAAGCACAGGCTAATGTACAAATCGAGTGCTTCCTTGGAATGCAAGGTGAACCCCGGAACGTACCTCGGCATCTCGGATGTCGGCGTACATCTTGATGGTAAACGAGTTGGTATTGGAACCACTGTCGCCCAAAGACCAAGTCACCTTTTCAATGACCTCGGTGCTGCAGGCCGAGGCGTTGAATAGCACCTCTCGAGTCTCAATGTAGCGAACAGTCAAGGCAGGCGTGATGAACATGTGTCCCGAGGGCGAGCCAAGGTCATCAGATGTTTGTACAGAAATGGTAGTGGCAAAAGTGACGCTATCATCACCGTTCAGGCTGGCCTTGACATCGGCCGACATACTCGTTGCAGCAACCTGCGCAGGTCAGATCACCGATGCAACGCCAATGAGTGCCACGCGATGCAATGTCACAGTAGCGCTCTGATGAGCATTGTCTTGACTTACGTCTAGACCAGCGCCACCCTCAGATTTGGCTACCTTGGTACACGCCTCGACGCCGAAACCAGCGCAGAGACTGGACTCGACATCCCAAGTCCACGACACTTTCTCTACACATCACGCCCACAGATCGGATTAGACAGATGACAGGAACAACAAAGATGAATAGAGCTGAGCTCCTTGATGCCGGCCGACTTACCAGCGACGTAGGCGCCCTTGAACGCCGCAAATTCACGATGACGAACGCGAAGCGAGGACACAGTGTTTGACTGCACATTAGCAAGCGAAGCGCACCGCACAGTGAGTCAAACGTGGGAATCGGATTGCAACTGTCTGCTGTCAAAACATACATAGTAGGAATAAGAGGATCCACCCGGAGGGTCGTAGAGAATCATGAGGGGGAAGTACTCCGGAAAGTCCTGATCCAACGAGAAAATTGGCAGTCTCAGTTAGACGAAACGATCATCACGATGCAGGTACAAGCGTGCAGGACAACCTAACATACCATGGTAAAGAGCTCAGAAATGAGCTTGTCGCCGGTGACAACGACGGGCACAAGCTTGCTGACCGAGTGAAACGCCGTGTCCAGCTGAGCGGTTAGGAGCTTGGCATTGGCGACGCCCTCCACTTCCATCACCAGCTCGGGTTCACCGCCCATGGCCTCAAAGGCGACATGGGCCGAGTGAAAGGTACGGCCTGCATCGTCGGAAGCGAGCTCCAGAGGCACGTAACATCCCGTGCCAGCGCAACGGCCGAGGCGCGCAGCCTTTTCAGCATTGATAATCTTCTGACGCAACAAAGCAGTGACTGTCTCTGGGGTTTCACCAATCTGATTGACCAGTGTGATATTGCCTTCAACCCATGAGCAAGATTCGATCGTACTCCAGAAGGGCTCGATGGCAGTGACAGAGATGGTAGTGGGCGCTTCACGCTCCAGGACTGCAAAGCTGCACTCGCCGCTCCGATCTCCCGACAGGTGCACAGTGATCTGGGGTTCAGGATGGTACTCCCAACGAGCCGTGTCTGGCTCTTCAGCCTTGAGGTCGATAGTGAGTTTTTTGCCACCGTGCTCCTCAAAGAAAGCCGGCACTGTCTCACCGAGGATTTCGCTATCGTGCTGAACACCCATCAACTCGACAAAAAACTCTTGCTGAGGCAAATCCACAACGTGCTCATATGTGCTGAAGGTGATGTCCTTGCTCCAAGTGGCCAAGCATGTCGCGTAGGTGATCTGCACCGTGGTAGTACCCAGTGTACGGTTGCAGCGGCCACCGGCCATCTGCATGGTCATGGTCGCGGCGGACGTGTCGATAAAGATGGTGGGCTGCGATACCTCATCGCTTTTAATTGCGTAGTAGTCGTACGTCAGAGCCTCACCAGCCAGCGAAACGCTGTCATAGCGTCCCGTGGGCGCACGACCCGTATTCACGCGTTCAAACGTATGGTTGTTGTACTCTACGACAGGGTACACGGTTAGCCCCGCCGCTACGGGGACAACATAGTAGCCCGTGATGGAGGTGCGTGCGCATCCAAGGGCTGTGTGGGCGTGGTGATTGTAGAGGCACACGCGAGCGTTGCGGAGAGGGCAGCCAAGCGCATAATTGGCGTGCTCTGTACCCTTGACAAATACGCTGCCCTCAAAAGGGACCGTGGTGGCATCCACAAACGTCGTCTCTTGATCAAATGTAAGAGCCTTGACAAGAATGCGCTGCTCCGTGCATGGGAGGCCATTGCACGTGTATCTGTGCTGCACGGTGCCGCTCGTTTTGGAGGGGCGTAGCACTAACATCTCCTGTTCAGTACCCAGCAGATCAGTCTTGACGTATACGGCAAAGCGACCATCCGCATCGGTCGTAAGGTTGCCACCCAGGACGAAGACCCCGTTGCGCTCATAGAACCATTCGATGTTGGTGTCGGCAACCGCCAGGTTGCCGGCGGCATCGGTAAGCTGCACGCGACCCGTGAGCTCGGCCTCCCAAAGAACCTGATGCGAGATGCACGTTTGCGCCGATTCATATGAACCAGTCAGACCAGAGTCTTCAGCCCAGACAAATGAGGTCTTGCTGTAAGCGCTGATGCAGTATTGGTATGTGTGGCCCACTTGCAGCTCCGAGGAAGTGGCCACATCGTCATAGATGGTTTCCGGGGCATAGCGGCGCTCGCAAGCCTGGCTAGCCTTGACGTCATAACCGCTGGTAAACGAAGAGCCATCACGGTAGAGCAAGAAACCATCTTCACAGTAGCTCATGTCCGAAAATGCAAAGAAAACGCGGCCGCGATGCTGACGCGTGGTAACGTCTGCCGGCGCACCTGTCACTTCGCTGGCACCACAAGCACAGGCGGTTTGTGCCTGCGGATACTCGAAGGAGTCGGGATAGCCGCCATTTTGGCGCCCTTCAACCTTGATGTAGTAGTAGGTACCCGGAATCAGGTAGTTGAGCGTAATGCGTGTCTGAGCATCGTAGCTGCCGCCTGTTTGATCGGCATCATACTCCTTGGGGTAACCAGCCGCCGTGTCCCAGGCGTACTCGTCATTGCGCCAGATGCCAAGGGTCACCCGAAAGCCCTCGCGGGGAGGACCGCTGTTCTCGATCACAAGCTCCATGGAACGAGCAGACATGATGGGCTGCACCAAGACACCAACTCCATCAACACACGAGGTGGCACGATCACCCACTGCGTACTTGCCCTCTGGGCAAGTCTTGCAGCTCCCTTGTCCATACTGATCCTGATAGGTGCCGGGAAAGTTGGCACTTGAGCAGTCTTTGCATGAAGTGGCCGTCTCCTCGTCGCTGTACTTGCCGGGGGCGCAGGACCAGCGAGAGTTGCTGGAAGAAGAGCTGACGTAGTAGCCCTGACCAGCGTTCTTGCACGAAGATTGAGTGTACTGATCGGTGTACTTGCCGGCAGGACAGCTGGTGCAGTATGTCGATCGAGATCCGCTGCTGTACTTGCCGGGCCAGCAATCACCACAGTAGTAGCCATCGTCACCATACTTGCCGCTGGGGCAGTCGGTACATTCGCCACGCCAGTAATCCGAAACGTAATAGCCGTTTTTGCAACGCACTCCATTGTCGCAGTCTGAGTGAGAGACAGACAGAACGGTGAGCACAGACTAAACTACGATTGAAAGGCAAAATGCGTGCCACTTCAAGGTGCATTCTTCGTACCGCATGAACCGTCGCACTCGGCATCACAGTTATCGCCCCAGATGTTGCAGTTGTCATCGCAGTTGTCTGTCACCGGGTTGATATGGAGAGTATGACCGAGAGAGTTGAGTGAGATACCGGGTGGTCAAAAAGATGGCAGACAAACCAGGATCGTTCATCGCGGAGGTGCGTACCATTGCAGTCGCAGCTACTGTAGTCGTTGCAGCTGCTTGAGTAGTAGCAGGGAGGGCGGTGATCCGTTTCACGGCGCTTGATAGAGTCACGATGAGTCTGTCTCATGGCAAAAATGACCTGATCCGGGGCGGAGCAGTCAAGGATCGTGGTCAGAAGCGCTCGTAGGTCTTTGTTGGAGCGAGCGTACATGTTGAGCTTGCGGGTGTGGTCGTCGGCAAGGAGGTTGACCAAGGAGGTGGGCTCATCACCAAGCATGAGGTAGTTGAGGCGCTCACAAACGGCGGTGGTGGGATCGCTCTCCACAGCAGGCATGGCAGCCAAGTTGAGCCAGGCCAACCCGTTGGGGGTGAGGGAGGCGGTGAGCAGAACGTCTTCATATTGCTGGCAGGTGGCGCGATCGAGGCCAAGGCCGCAGGCACGGCCAAACAGCGCAAGCCAGCTGTGGGTTAGGCGCTCAAGTGAAAGCGTGATGTGGGTTGAGCCCATGCTCTCGGTGGTGGTCGCATAGTGAATGATGCCCTTGGGAAGATAGAGCACGTCGCCTGCCTTCAAGGTGATGGCCTGGCACTCCATCTTGGCCAATTGCCAGGCCTCGTACTGGGTGCAGCCTTGAATGCTATGTCGGACAATCTCCTGAAGCTGGGCCTTTTCGGCATCGGTGCGGTTCTGTGCACCAGCAGGCTGCGGCGTGCAGATGGTCCACTGCTTCTCGCCGTACGTCTGAATGACCAGGACATCGTAGGGATCCGTGTGTGGCTAATTGGTCAATGGGACATACATGGCAGATGAGATGGCAGAGGACAGCAGCAAAAAGTACAGGCGACGTGGCGGTCCGGCATGAGGATGAATGGCGGGAGCAACCAACCTTGAGGGCCTGGGCCCCGGGCGGGGTCACGTAACCATGTACAGCTACAGTTGTAGCGAAGAGGGTGGCAAGGTGGCGCTCGAGATCAGAGCCGTGACTTTGGTGAAGCTCCGTTTTGATCACAAAGGAGTTGCCATCGTCGAGAAGACCACGAAGAAAGGGCTCGTCAACGGTTTCGGCCGTGGTGAGAATGTCGCTGATCTCACCGCCGTTGGTGCGCACCATGATGTCCTCACCCCACAGATCAAAACGCTCGATAAAGTCGTCCATTGAGGTGAGGGACTCGACCAGAGGTTCAATGGTGTTGAGTTGCGCGATGAAATCGGCGGCATTTGCCTGGTGATTGGTCCAATGGTGCACGCGAGTTTCAAAGGTGTTGAGGAAAAAGTTTTTGACCTCGGCGCTGCCACCGAACAAAAAGCGCAGCACGCCTTGTGGAGTCCCGTCAAGGACCGAAGTGGCGTCTTCTGCAGTGGTGGTGGCCACCACCACCGCCAAAAGCGGCAGCAAGAGCTTCATCTTGCTCCTCTGGAACTGGTCGTTTACAGGGCAAGCGACCGGAAGACAGAGGCAGTCACCACGGGGAAAAAAAAAAATGGCCCTTGGGCCTGTGGCGAACAACTTGCAGGGCATGAATTAGTCAAGAAGAGAGTTGGTGGTGACTCTGCACACGGTGGAGGGCAACAGAGGTTGTTTGGTGGGTGGGCTGGAGGTTGGGCCCGGCTGGTTGGCCTATTGATGGGGGCGTTCAAGTGGAACCAGACCTATGGATATGTACAATCATTAACGCGAAAATTTCTGCTCCCGTCAGCTTTTCCACTCGACCGTTGAGCTGCAGCGCGCTATTGGTGCAAGCATGCACGCGACGACTGGAACGAGTGGGTCTTTATCGATGCGTGGCGGTTGGTGCTGATGGGGTGGACAGAGGATGTACATGAGAGTATGTCGGGGTGTGTCAAGGTCATCAAGGAATGCTTGAGGGTGGGTGGGGGTGGGGACGAGGCGAGCTGAAGGCAGGAAAGGTGAGGTGAGGGGAGCGGGGGCATGAGCGTGAGCGCCCGAGCGGGGCATAGCGGGGTTGGGGGTATTGAGGAAGACTGTGAAGGGTGGTGAAGTCGTTGGAGTTGCATCCTATTTTCAGGTTTGGTGCGCCCGCGTGGGTGGATTCACGTTGCTGTCGCCGCTGTCGCTGCTGCCGTTATAGGCGAAACCCCTCGTGATCGTGCCAAGCCATTGTTTGGCATGGTTATCATTAGTATTGTCGTGCGCGTGTGCTCTGCTGCAAAATTTTCCTCAACACCTCTTCATTGAACAGCAGCGCAGGCGATCCAAACCGGCAACCACACGCTATCAGGTGCATGCAGCAGGCGTACTGCATGTGCATGGAGCAGCATCATCCTCATCATCCTAGGAGGAGCCCGGAGAGGCTGATGGCGATGGCGAAATTCTGTTTGAATGGGTCAAAGCGGGCAGGCAGAGGTGGCATTTCAAAGAGAGGTAAGAGTCAGAGGTAGAGCTGGCGGAAAGAATGCCACCGGGGTAAACAAAGAGGTGTAAGCAGAGGTTTATGCAGGTACGCAGTCAAGAAGCAGAGAGAGAGAGAGTGAGAGTGAGTTTTTTTGTGAGACTGGACTCGCTTCGTGTCCGATGCAACCGTCAACACGACAAAAAGCCTGCATGCTTGCATGTGGTTTGGTGCAGTTGGGACCTGCTCCCACAAAATCGTACCCGTCCAGGCATGTCGGTTGGGGTGGGGCGTTGGTGGCGAGTGGGTGGCAAATCCCGACCATTTGGCCTGAGAAATAATGCCACGGGGCAAGGCAACAAACGGTGTGATGAGCATTTGCACGCAAGGTCGGCCACCCTGTTTTTCTTTTTCAAAAAAAACCAAAAAAAATTGATTTTCCATTGGTGCCGGCTTTTTGCATTGTCCGGCTACCATGGCGGTGACGGTGCTGTCGAAGGTGCTACTGGCTGCCGTTTTGGTGCTGTGGGCGACCGATGATGTACTGGCCAGCGGTGATGCTTTCGGCACGGCCTTGCAAACACGTCTGGGTTGTTTGAACCCGCTGGCCAAGGCCAACTACCGCAGCTTGCGCGCCGAAGCTCGGGCCGTGGCGCTCGACCATCTCCTCGATTTCGCCGGCACCTGCGACCAGCTGGCGTTTGCTGACTTTGATGTCACCGGTCAGGTAAGGCAACCACCCGCTGTGCGTGTGCTTGGTGGCTTACACCAGAAAGCAACTCAGAATGATTGTGGATGTGGGGTTTTGGTAACCATCTTTAGCTTGTGCAACCTGGCGTCGTGCAAGGCTTGACGCCAAAAGCGTCCGTCACAGGAGAGCAGAATCATCAGCAACAGAGGGCCCGGCGCGCTGGTATGCACCAATCCCTCGGATTTGATTGCCTGGGGTGAATCTGCGCCAGATTTGTGCCATGACGTCCGATCGCTCATACCTTTATGCTCGACATCACGATGGCGTGCAACAGATACCTGCACTGCAGACGACCTCGAGCCCAATAGCTATGCCAGCCCATACGCCCTGGACGATCTGCCTGCTGCTTTGAGCGACCTCTCGCTATGTGATGGCCCTGATGCCTATGCCATCAGCGTTTGTCCGAGCTGCAAGGTCACTGTGTCCGTGACCTACGTTGCTGGACCGGGTAGCCTCAGCCTCGGCCTATTTGACAGCCAGGTGAATGCCTATGCCGCTCAGACCCAGGGTAGTGGTGGATCAGCCCAGATTGTCTTTACCAATTGGGCGACCAGCACCCGCGAGATGTCCATTGACGTCTACGGCAGCTTTGCGGGGACCTATGCCCTCTCTGCCGCCATCGAGGCGGATAGCGGCACCCGCCCCACCACAACCACGCCCGCCCCTTGCACCGCAGACAGCTTTGAGCCCAACGGCTATGCCAGTCCATACGCGCTGTCGGGCTCGAGCACGAATGCCTCTGATCTGACGCTTTGCGGCGAGGCCGACTCGTACAGCTTTTCCTTATGTCCCGGTTGCTATGCTCATGCCCGCGTCGAGTTTGATCGCTCATATGGCAACATCGACATTGGCTTTTTCTCCGGCACTACCGCCGCGTACGTCGCTCAGGGCGCGGGTACAGGCGACTACGAGGAGGTTGGCTACATCAACCCCACAGGCTCGACCATCAACCTGCAGCTTGATGTATACGGGAGCTTCAGCCGAACCTACAGCCTGGTCTTTACCATTGCCAGCGAGGGACCCCCTGGCAAGACGACCAGCACGACTGCACCCTGTCTTCCAGATGCTCTCGAACCCAGTAGCTTCAGCGACCCGTATGCTCTAACTGGAAACAACCTATCGTTTGCCGACCTGACGCTCTGTGGCGTCCAGGACTCGTACAGCATCAACGTGCCCAGTGGTGAGGCCATTACTGTGCAGGTCAACTTTGACAATGTGCAAGGCGGCATCAACCTGGGCTTGTTCAACCCAAACACCAACACGTACGCAGCCGAGGGCCGTAGCGCCATTGGTCGTGTCTGGCTGCAATATACCAACGCTGGCACTGCCCGCACGTTCAACATTGATGTTTACGGCAGCAACCGAGGGTCGTACACGCTCAGCGTTGTGGTTGCACCGCCTCCCACCACCACGACGCCACCCGCAACCACCACCACTACTGCAGCTTCAAGCTCCAGTACACAGTCATCGACCACGGTGGCACCCACCAGCACCTCCACCAGCTCCCCTGGGACCTCCACAACTTCTGCCGACCCGACCACCACGGCAACAGACGTGACCACGTCTCCTTCCTCGACGTCATCATCCTCAACTATTTCATCATCAACAACGTCTGGTGCTTCAACAGGCCCAGGGTCCTCTCCCACCACATCATTGCCAGGTTCAACCACCACGGCGTCAGCAACGATGACGCAGGGCTCGACCTCAGCCACCACCATAGCCTCTGCAACTACGGCTCCCTCGACCGCGTCCACCACAGCTGCTACGACGGCCTCTCCGACTACCGCAACGACCCCCGCGACCACGACCGATGCGACGGCCCCGTCGACCACGACCACCTCATTGCTCACATCAACAGGCTCTTACTCGAGCGCACCGCTGACGTGTCCGGACAGCTACGAGCCTAATAACCGCCCCAGTGAAGCCTATCTCGTTTCAAACGGCTTCACCGCCGAGGGCATCAGCCTGTGCGAGGAAGACGTGGACATGTATCGCCTTGAAGTGTGTGCAGGCGGCTCTGTCAGCATCCAAGTGAGCTTTAGCCATGCCCAGGGCGATTTGGATGCACGTCTGTGGGCCGATGGCCAGGTCGTTGCCACGGGCTACTCTACCTCTGATTCGGAGCAACTCGAGTACACAGAGGCTCCAGATCACGTTCCACAAACGCTCGTTTTGGAAGTTTTTGGCGTCAAAGGCGCTGCTAATGCCTATAGCCTGACAGTGCATGTCACGGGCTGTGAATGCACATGCCCACCTGACTCGCGACGCCGAGGTACACGCCTTACGACCTACCGCGTGCCTGCCACGCGCGTTGTCGGCGCTTGTCCTGATTACGTCCCCAGCATCTGTCTCGCGCCACGCGACGACGAGACATCGCCTCTCACCCTCGACCTGGAAGTGAATCGCGTCGGCCAGAAGCAATATGCCCACGTTGCCTCGTCACCCCAGCTCCAGGGCGACAACCTGTGCTGGAGCCATCCCCTTGCACTTCAACACCGTGATCGCTTCCAATTTGTCCTTAAAAACCCCGAGGGCGTTCGCTATTGGGTCAGCTTCCCAGACGATACCATCAACTGCTCCTAGTCGTGGAGCATTCGTAGCTTCTGTTTTTTCTCCTTTTTTTTTTTTTTTTCTAGTCTTCCTTCGGTTGTCCGTTGTTTTCCTTTTCTCTTGTGGCACGTCAACGGCGTGCGCGTGTATGTGTGTTGTGGCGATGGTCTTCGAGCCAGTTGCCGACGCAGGTTTGAGCCTCATCTGATGCTAGCGTTCCCCCAAATGCCTGTCCTTGCGGTGCTCTCATGTTATCAATCAATGCCATTCTAAGTATCCGCGTCTTCCGAAATCAACTTACTCTGTCGTACTACCATGAGGGGAGAAGTGTTGCACGCGCCATCTGCTGCTTGGACATCAGCATCTTCACTTGAAAGTAAAGAGAGGCCAGGTCATCGTTGATCTTTGGGGCCGCCAGAGGCGGCAGCCGAGCTCCACGGCATCCCAGGCAACGCGCTTTCCAGCGGTTTCATTTGGTAGCGAGTGCGACGAGAGGCGTGAAACGGTATCCCGATCTCCAAGGCGACCAGGCAGACAAGAGTGAAGTGCACAAATAGCAATCGGACGCTGTTGTGCGGTACTAACGGCCGTGCACTGCACATGATCCTCCTGCCCCTGCGCCTCAGGCTTTGTTGGCTCTTGGCTTCCGGAAGGAACGCGTGCCAGCCCCAAACCCAGCCTACCCGGAGAGGAATTATAGAAGCAGCGCCTCAATGCAAACATGTTTGTGAAGCAGCTCAAAGGAGCAAAGCAAACCGTGGCCCATCTACTTTGTGCTGGTGCATTCCAAGCACACACTTGTACACTGGCGCACAGAAGTCATGCATCTTTACATATGAATGGAGTTTGATACCTTCTCCTGCCCAAGATAATTGTTGCAAACCCGTCGTGTATGACCAGAGTAGCAATGTTCTTTCGATTTGAGCTGGACAGAAGAGAAAAAAATCAAAGTTAAAGCAGCAGCTCAAAACAAAACGGGCCCATTAGAGAGCAGGCAATCATAGGACTTCAAGAGCGTGTTTCTGAAGTTCTCGTATGTCTCATCGTGGTTTTGCACAAAATCTTCGGGTGAGCCTTCTCCGGTAAGGAAATCGGGTAGCGAGCGAGCAGCGTTCAAGACAGGTCGCCAGATAGATCCCAACTGACCCTCATCCCAACAATTAGTGCTATGCAGGTCATTTGGCCAGCCGCCCTTTTGCACCATTCGCAAGAAGATGCCCTTTGCAAACATTTCCAGGTCATGTCGGAACTGGGGCACCACCGCACTCTGCAAACCACAACCAGTCGAACATGAGGGGGCTTGCACACTGCAATTCTTCCCACATTCACTGCAGCAAGCGGCACGAACCTCGTCAATCATGTCATCTGCTTGCTCACAAGGCCAGCCAGTGGGTACAACTGGCTGGCCTGTGCGAATCTCTTCAGCCGACCCCCAGTCGTTGAACAGGATTTTTGAACCCACTCGAAAATAGTTGCGGGGAAGCGGGTCACGATGAACAAGCCCGGCCTTGTGCGCGGCCTTGAGCACATCCAAAAGCATTGATAGCTCGTGTCTTGTGGGAGGCGTGGCAAATTTCTCGCCTACAGGGGTCACGACGCAGCAGTAGGGGTGCCCTTTCGAGTAACCCTTGAGGACAGGCACATTTTCAACCTTAGCCAAATCCAGCTTGATAAGCATGTCACGCTCCTGCTTCATGGCGGCTTCGTTCTGGAAAATCTTGAAGACGACCGGCTTGTCATGAAAGTAGCCTTTGTACGCCTTGCAGTGCCTGCCCTCGCCGAGAAAGCAGTGTGGATGGCAATACAACAGCCGCTCATCGTTGTCAGGAATGGTCACGCGCAAGTCCACGAAACCAAGCTCACGAGGTTCCATGGTCAGCAGTCGGACAAGGGGCGCGCCCGACCTCAAATGGCCCTGTATTATGGTCTCGAAGTGAATGAAGCCGGTTCCGCTGCATCGATATGCCCGGATGATGTGGAAGTCGAAACAGTTCACCAACGCGCCAAAGCAGAAGTGTCGAGTTGGAGACAGCTCCAACAATGTATTCAAATAAGAAAAGAGTTGGCCAAGAGCCGAAAATGAAAAGTCTTTCGCGTTGCGCTTGAGCTCCAAAATGCAGGCAATGTTTCCATTCCTGTAAGGTTCTCTTGCCCCCAACACAATGTCGGGCTTGAACTGGCCCAGAGTTGCAACATTGGGAGAGCTACAAACGCGACATGGGATATTCTTTGTCTGCTTCTGGAGAAAGTCAACCCAGGCTTTTTGGAGATCTGCTTCCAAAGTGCGCTGGCCCTTTGGAATGCTGTCGGCCATGGTTTCCTGCTCCGACGTGAGCTCCGAACGGAACGGGGCCACCTCTGACTCGTCGGCTGTTTTGTATCGACCCTTCCGGGTCACTTGCTTGTAATAGTCTAGATACCCGTCCCCTGAAGCCCCGGACACGACCGCACTTGCTGGCACCACCAACACGCCAGAGGATTGCTGGGGGCGAGGGCTCACTGCAGCCGCCATGGGTGAGTTCGTTTTGCTTGCAGCGTTATTCCGCGCCTGGGAAGCACGGACTACTTCGTCTTTCAAGGTCTGCAAGTACGATTCAAAGACATGGTTCAGCTCTGCGGAATGTGGACGCGAGATGACCAAGTTCACTTCGGCTTTGGCCACGTTCACTTTGGCATCGGCAACGTTCACTTTGGCATCGGCAACGTTCAGTTCGGCATCGGCCACGCCCGCCTCGGCTTGGGCTCGGTCTCCATGATTTGTAGCCGCTTCCACTTTGGCTTTGGCCACGCCCAGTTCGAATTTGGCCTCGCTCACTTTGGCATCGGCCACGCTCACTTCGGCTTTGGCCACGTTCAGTTCGGCTTTGGCCACGTTCACTTCGGCTTTGGCCACACTTGATTCGGCTCGGGCTCGGTCTCCATCATTTGTAGCCGCTTCCACATTAGCTTCAGCCACGCCCAGTTTGGCTTCGGCCACCTTCAATTTGGCATTGGCCACACTTGCTTCGGCTCGGGCTCGGTCTCCATCATTTGTAGCCGTTTCCACATTAGCTTCAGCCACGCCCAGTTTGGCTTCGGCCACCTTCACTTTGGCCTTGGCCACGCCCAATTCGGCTTTGGCCACGTTCACTTCGGCATTGGCTTGCTCTTCCGTGGCCATGCACGCCTGGGCACGTTCCTCAGCGCTGTCCAGCTTGGCTTCAGCGATGTCCAGCCTGGCTTCAGCATTTTTAAGCTTGTCTTCAGCCTTGCTCAGTTTGTCTCCAGCCTTGCTCGGTTTTTCCGTTGCTCTAGCTGGGCGCGAAGCGGCGCCGGATCGCTCGTCTGCACTGCCACTGCTCGCCATCCTAGGCATAGAAAAAAACCAGAAAAGGTGAGCAGTGCATGACTTTTCCAAAGGCCGAAAACAAACAGAAGTCGCCTAAGCATCTCACTACTTTTCGCGCCAAAAATGAAGTGGAACGACGTGGATTCACACCAAAAAAAAACGGCAGCCATAATGCAACAAACACGCAATTTGAATGCAATCCATGCCCTTTTGATGACCGCATCCCGTAACGGGCTCATTGAATGCATTCACTACTCTTCACGCCCAAAGTGTCTGGGTATTCAACTTCACACACACACACGCGCACACACACACACACACACACACACACACACACGCACACAAGCACAAAAAAAAAAAAAAACGGCAGACATGCGAAGCAAATGCATTTGATGTCTTCCTCGTGATCAGGCAGGCTCGTCAGGTGAATGCAGCCCACTTGCTTTCGCACACGATGAGAGGTGCACGCACCCATTTTGCACGGGTGGCACGCCCCAACCCATTCACCACTAATCCTGCTTTTCCCGCCAACACCACACACACACGCACACACATAAAACCAGATCGTGCATTTACCTCT